TGTGTGTGTGTGTGTGTGTGTGTGTGTGTGTGTGTGTGTACTTATCTATTTGTGGTTGCAGGGGTCGAGTTTTAGCTCCTGTGTGTGTGTGTGTGTGAGTGTGTGTGTGTGTGTGTGTGTGTGTGTGTGGGGTGTGTGTGTGTGTGTGTGTGGGGTGTGTGTGTGTGTGTGTGTGTGTGTGTGTATGTAAGCCACTAACTTGAAGTGCAGTTAAAAAGATAACGTCCAATGTCTTGTTATCTTGAGTTATCTTAACCAGATAACTGCTCCTGAGAGTAGGGTCTCCACAACATTTCTTCTCTCAGCTTCCTGGGTACAAACAAGATAATAAACTGCGAGTAATTGAGACCTTTGTGAGGTGTATGCAAATTATGTTGTGAAGTCAGAGTGCATGACTCTCCTTCCTATTAGTAACAACTATTTCCTTTATAATTACATTTTGTATCATATTTAGAGTTACATTTACACGGGCATCGAGAACTATTGTAAGGATCAATGAAATTATTGATGTGTGTCTGGTATGGTTACCTGGAGGTTACCTGGAGGTTATTCCGGGGATCAACGCCCCCGCGGCCCGGTCCATGACCAGGCCTCCTGATACTTCCTGGATGTACACAAAAATGTATATCTCTATACGTATACAGTGAGAGAAGTAGTGTATATATAAAGAGGGATGTATATCTCGGTATATGTACACTGTCTACATTAGGTATGAACTCATTCTTGACTGGTAGTTTACCCAGAGCTTCAATAACCATCCCTTGGTGTTTCTCACTAGGATTTCCAGAGCTTAACCTTTCCTCCAGAAGGTCATGGAATGAAAGACCTGTATCCTGTGAGGTCATGCAGGCAAATTTCCTCAAGTGCAGGGCATAAATGGCTGTGTGGTGTGAATATTATGCAGAGAATTCGGGGCTTTTGGAGACTGGAAGGTGTGGGTTACGAAAATATAATTCAGTGGGTTGAAGATGGGTTATTGAGGTGTTTTGGACGTTTAGAGAAAGTGAAGTAGTATAGGATGACTTACATTGTGTTTATTACTGGGTCGGCTGGAAAGAGGTGGTAGGGGTCATTCCAGGAATAGCTGGAGGGAGAAAGGTTTAAAGGAGGCTTTCAGAGCTAGGGTCTTGAGCAGCCAACAGGCTTTTGAGAGGCGTGGAGACGAGTGGTTTTTATGACTTGACCTGCTGTTGGAGAGTGAGCAACGTAATATATATGAATGAGTTCAAGGAATCCGGTTATCCGGACTTTAGTCCTGGCTGAAGGAGGTACAGTACCTGCACTCTGAAGGAGGGCTGGAGGAGGGCTGGGGATGTTACAGTTCGGAGAGCTTTCTGCTAAGACAGTGACTGAACGAATGACGGAGAATTGATTACTTGTTTTTGGCGTCCCTATCTTGGTGGAAGACGGAAAAATAAAATATTTATAATAAACTACAATAATATATAATATATATATATATATATATATATATATATATATATATATATATATATATATATATATATATATATATATATGTAACAGTTTCAACTGCCTAGTAAGTTATCACTCGTCCTGTTATTCATAAAATATTTAATGACAGATAATTAAGCAGCTTCGACAAATCATAACAGTTAATGAGTCAATTTATTAAAAAAAGATTTATTGATGAAAATTGGATGGCACTTTCAGTAATTAGAGTAATTAAAAGAGCAATAAAAGTGGCCTAATGACTTAGAAATCTGTTGAAAGGGAAGATATATATATATATATATATATATATATATATATATATATATATATATATATATATATATATATATATATATATATATATATATATATATATATATATATATATATATATATATATATATATATATGCAATAAGATCACAGTAAACAGGTGATTTCAGAATATGCAAAACAACCACTCTGAAATAATAGAGAAATTCCAAGCGCTTTCGTGACTACTCACATTATCAAGGAACTATGAAAGTAAAGCATCCAAGGAAAGTATATAAGGGGTCTGGCCAGCACCTCACTATCAGATCCCACAACGGTTAAACACCTGACGCGCGCCGGCCCAACTGGACAGGTCCTTTGCACAACTCACCCACAAACTATTATACCCAAGAAAATTTTTAAAATTATTATTTGTCCAGTGTATTATTAAATTCTTCCCAAATTCTATTAATTATAAATTGATCTAATTTATATAAACCGAAGGAAATATTCATATTATTGTCAAAACTGCTTTTTATGAAACAAGATTCAATTATATTCCTGTCGACCATGGACTTGCTTGATACAACTTTCTCAACTTTTTGAAAATCAATTGGATGGTTAAAATCTCTTACATGAATAAATAGAGCATTGGAATCTTGTCCAGTTCTAATGCTATATTTATGTTGTTTTAATCTTAGTTCGAGATTTTTACCAGTTTGACCGTAATAAACTTTATCGCAAATTTTACAAGGAATCTTATAGACACATCCATCAGCATTTTGGGGGGAATTCTTTATCAAAAGTTTTTTTACTGTATCAAGATTCTTGAATACGACTTTAATATTAAAAGTCTTAAGAAGAGAAGGCATATCAACCAAGTTTTGATGGTAAGGGAGAACCAACATATTTTTAGTTGAATAAGGCTGGTTGTCCCTTTTTGGATTGTAAAAAGTATTTCTAGCAACTTTAAAAGATTTATCAATTACATTTCTTGGGTATTTTAAATCATTACCTATTTCATAAATTTTGGATATTTCCTCATCTATGAACTCAGGACTACAAATTCGTAAAACTCTCAAAAACATTGATGAGAAAACAGACAGTTTGACTCTATCTTGATGCGAAGAATAATAGTGGACATAGGAACAGTTATTTGTAGGTTTTCTGTAAATTTTAAATTTGAATTCATTATTACCCTTAATAATTAAAACATCTAGAATTTGGGAAGAATTTAATAATACACTGGACAAATAACAATTTTAAAAATTCTCTTGGGTAGAATAGTTTGTTGGTGGGTTATGCAAAGGACCTGTCCAGTTGGGTCGGCGCGCGTCAGGTGTTTAACCGTTGTGGGATCTGATAGTGAGGTGCTGGCCAGACCCCTTATATACCTTCCTTGGATGCTTTACTTTCATAGTTCCTTGATAATGTGAGTAGTCACGAAAGCGCTTGGAATTTCTCTATTCTTTCAGAGTGGTTTTTTTGCATATATATATATGTATATATATATATATATATATATATATATATATATATATATATATATATATATATATATATATATATATATATATATATATATATACAATATATATATAACATTTAATAATTTTTCTTCATATTTCGACCTCCATTTGAGGCCCTTTTCAGCAGACGTTCTGGTATATTATCTCAGATGACAAGTGATTGAGAAATGTTTATTCTCCAGCAGTTTTAGTGTGCATTACCAGTTACTTTTGCTCAGGGTAATAAAATAACTCAGGATTACTTTTATTATCTTTTAAAATTAATAAAATTATTTACATTGAAGATTTGGCTAACATGTTTTTCTTTTCTTCTTCCCTGTTGTCCCGTTGATGATCTTCCCTGTTGTCCCGTTGATGACCTTCCCTGTTGTCCCGTTGATGACCTTCCCTGTTGTCCCGTTGATGACCTTCCCTGTTGTCCCGTTGATGACCTTCCCTGTTGTCCCCGTTGATGACCTTCCCTGTTGTCCCGTTGATGACCTTCCCTGTTGTCCCGTTGATGACCTTCCCTGTTGTCCCGTTGATGACCTTCCCTGTTGTCCCGTGATGACCTTCCCTGTTGTCCCGTTGATGACCTTCCCTGTTGTCCCGTTGATGACCTTCCCTGTTGTCCCGTTGATGACCTTCCCTGTTGTCCCGTTTGATGACCTTCCCTGTTGTCCCGTTGATGACCTTCCCTGTTGTCCCGTGATGACCTTCCCTGTTGTCCCGTTGATGACCTTCCCTGTGTCCCGTTGATGACCTTCCCGTTGTCCCGTTGATGACCTTCCCTGTTTGTCCCGTTGATGACCTTCCCTGTTGTCCCGTTGATGACCTTTCCCTGTTGTCCCGTTGATGACCTTCCCTGTTGTCCCGTTGATGACCTTCCCTGTTGTCCCGTTGATGACCTTCCCTGTTTGTCCCGTTGATGACCTTCCCTGTTGTCCCGTTCTGACCTTCCCTGTTGTCCCGTTGATGACCTTCCCTGTTGTCCCGTTGATGACCTTCCCTGTTGTCCCGTTGATGACCTTCCCTGTTGTTCTCTTGATGACCTTCCCTGTTGTCCCGTTGATGACCTTCCCTGTGTCCCTTTGATGACCTTCCCTGTTGTTCTCCTGATCACCTTCCCTGTTGTCCCGTTGATGACCTTCCCTGTTGTTCTGTTGATCACCTTCCCTGTTATCCCGTTGATCACCTTCCTTGTTGTCTCGTTGATCATCTTCCCTATTTTCCTGTTGATCACCTTCCCTGTTGTTCCTTTGATCACCTTTCCTGTTGTCCTGTTGATCACCTTCCCTGTTGTCCTGTTGATCGCTTTCCCTGTTGCCCTATTGATCACCTTCAATGCTGTCCTATTGATTACCTTCACTGTTTCCCTGATCTCGATCTCCCCTACCCACCTCCGCTACATACCCTACCCACCTCCGTAACTTCCCCTACCCACCTCCGCTACATATCCTACCCACCTCCGTAACTTACCCTACCCACCTCCGCTACATACCCTACCCACCTCCGTAACTTCCCCTACCCACCACCTCGCTACATATCCTACCCACCTCCGTAACTTACCCTACCCACCTCCGCTACATACCCTACCCACCTCCGTAACTTCCCCTACCCACCTCCGCTACATACCCTACCCACCTCCGTAACTTCCCCTACCCACCTCCGCTACATACCCTACCCACCTCCGTAACTTCCCCTACCCACCTCGGCTACATACCCTACCCACCTGACACCCTGTACCACCTCCATGCTCACCCTCAATCCACCACCCCGCCAGCAG